CCCCCAGGGAAGGACCTGGGATTCACAGGTGAGTGGGAAAGAGCCAGGGAGGCAGTCAGATCTGGTTTTCGCTTTTGAAGCTTGGAGATGGCTTATTTAAAAAGTACGAAAGAGGCTGAGTTCGGTGGCACACACCTTCACCCCAGTGCACGGGAAACTGAGGCAAGCAGATCTCTTTGAATTTGAGGCCATCTTGATCTATATATCAAATCTACATGTCAAACTAGGCTAGCTGGGGCTACATCATAAGACCTTGAATAAAAATACAAATTAGAAATAAAAACAAAGGTAAGATGAGGGAATGGAAACATCATGGAAGTAAAGACAGTTTAGTTTGGACAGCATTGTTTTTGTTTTTGAGGGGGGCTGCTAGTACCTACCTTTCTGGAGAAAAAGCAGGGTAAAGTTCAAAACCCATATCCAGGTCAATAGGCCAAAGAGTAAACAAGATTAGCAAGGGACAAAATCCAACTTAGATTCCAGATGTAGAGACTGGGAGAGATTCGTGAGTGGAGTTTTTCTTACAGGCTCAGAAGAAAACCCAGGAATGTCCAGTGAAGAAAAAAGTCAAGGGATGGGCAGTTTCTGGAAGGAAGGCCTGATCAGCGGGCAAGCAGGAGCCACAGACAGATGTCACAACGGCTTAGTCACTGGTGACTTTCGGGAGAGACTCGGGGAAGGCCAGTTTCTTTCCTGGGAAGAGAAGGCAGGTGCTGGTAGTAGGGCTTGCCTGTCATCTCTACTCGATCTGAAAACCGAAACTGGATTAGCAGTGTGCTTCCTGGGAGGTCACTGTAAGAGAGAGAGGACCAGGAGAGGACAGGCAGCCGCAGACGGAGGTTCCTGGCTGTCTACTCGGTCCCTGCTCCGTTTATCCACCCAGAGCTGTTGACTTGGTCCTTCTCTGGTTCACAGTCTATCAACTGAAGGTGGGTGGCAGTCAGTGGGGACAAGCAGATGGTACTCAGCAACTCAGTCTGCAAATGACAGGCAGGCACTTCCCACAATTCATGCTTTCGCATCAGGGGAATGTCCCCCTGAAGAAAGTCACCTCTACTCCACCTGTTTGTCCCTGGTCTACTTTATCTTTTAGGATATGGCCTCTGTTAGGTGTAGGCCTAAGTACAAATTCCCATGTCACGGGACTAGCCTGTTTGGGAAAGACTTTGGTAGCATCCTTTTAGTCCAAAGTGTGTCCCCCAGTGACTGTTGAAGGCTACAGAACTCTCGGTGTTGTTTTCCTATTGAGGCAGCGAACCCAGTGCTCAGTTTCCTAGCTTCTTGTGCCTACTTTAGGAATGTGTGAATCTAGAAAATTCTAAATGCATGCCTGTCTTCCTTTGGCCTTTTATTCTGAATATATCTGTTTTCTTTGGCATCCACATATTTGATGCTGTGTGTATTCATAGCAGTCGGACAGAAAATCGCACCATATTACCCGGGAGAAGGAAATTATTTTCTCTCTATTCAAATACATTTTTTATTAGCCATACACAAATTGGCCTCACCTACACACAGAGGCTTGCTTACATGTGCGGCTGAGGTGTGGTGTCTAGATGGTTGGAAGAGAATATAATTATGTGTTTATGTGCTAGGTAATCTCGGTGTTATCAGAGAGTTATGTCTGAGGAATATGAATGATCTGCAAGCCATATCAACAGTGTCGCCTCGCACAGCCTTTGTGTTCTTTCCAAGACACTCGGGGCCTCTTCCTGTGTCTAGCCTCATTCTCTACCTCTCTCTAGTTGTAAGGCTTCCTGTCATTTATACAATGCTGCACAATTGTGTTTGTATATACAATGTGTGCATAATCTCTCTCTCTCTTCTTTTCTCTCTCCTCTCTGTCTCTCTTTTCTCCATCTGTCTTCCTTCTCTCCTCTCTCCCTCATTCTCTATCTCCCTCTCTTTGCCACATCATTCTGTCTGTCTGTCTGTCTGTCTGTCTCTGGTTCCCCTCTCCCTCCCCTCCTAAGCACACAGGGAGGCAACTTCAGAAAGCTGCCCAGCATGGCTGTTGGTTTATCTGTCAAAGAAATTCATTACCAAGAGAGTGCTTTGCTGTACAGGCTCACTAAATTTTTTAAAAAATGTATTTCATTATATTTATGCAAGCGTAACTTGGCTAGCTCACAATTTACCAAATGCAAGCATTTGTCAGGGTTATTTCCCATCACTCAGGGGGGGAAAGTGCCGCCTGTATTTTGACTATTTAAAGCAATTTTGTTTCCATTCTGAGTGTCTGCTGCCAGAACAGCATGACTGTCTGGATGGAGGAAGTAGGAGAGCTCCCGATTTCCCTGCGTGCATCTGCAGAAGCACTGATTGTTTAACCAGGGTACGGATAGTGATGAGGCCAGAAATGCTTTAGCATGTGTTTATTCTCCTTGGCACTTCAGAAGAAAGGAAAATTGCGACTGCTCTTGTTTGCATTTAAATTATATACTCGACTGTAAGTAGGGGAATGGCTTAATATTTTGAAACACAAAAATTGGAATACATCCCTGAAATAGATGTCTATCATATGACCTCATTTTATTTCTGAATTTCACTTAAATGTTTTTTGCAGAGGTTGGGGTGAGGATTGGGCCTGCACAAGCTTTATATAAAACTCTGAAGGTCTCAGAGATGAAAATTGCCATTAAAAATCACCTGGCCTTGTAGAATACTACTGTTCATTCTCAGGAGATGAATTTGTGATTCTCTAAGAGGACAGGGAAGGGAAACAGCCGAGCCATGCCAAGGCCTCAGAGGTCACTGGCTGGAATACAGTCCTTCAGGGGTACTATAGGGTACAGGCTGTTTGCGCGGCTGTCTTCAGGGGTACTATAGGGTACAGGCTGTTTGCGAGGCTGTCTTCAGGGGTACTATAGGGTACAGGCTGTTTGCTCGGCTGTCTTCAGGGGTACTGTAGGGCACAGGCTGTTTGCGCGGCTGTAGGTTTCTTTCACTTTGCTGTTGTTGCTTATTCTGTCTACGTAACCATTTTACTTAATGTAAATACCATCAACAGAAAGAGGCATACCTATTTTATATTCTCCAAAGTTGTTAAATTCTGCCAGTAGAGCAGTGGCTCATTGCTGATTAGAGGTCAGACCAGGAGAACATTCGCAGTACTTCGGAAAGGATACAGTCCATAGGGTAATAGGTCATATCTGGGCGGAGTTTGTTAACACTGTCAGCTCAAATCAATGGCGAAACTTTCTTGGTTAGATGAGACTTGTTTCCCTCTATTCAGTTGACATATGTAATGGGGTTTCAGGCCACGTCCCTTGTCCAAAGTTATCACTCAGTCACTTTCTTTTAAGACTGCTAGTTTGGCTTGAAGGAGGCAGAGTAGCAATAGCAAAAGAAAAACAACACCGTAGGTTTAATGTGAAAGACAAAACCCCATTTAACATGCTTCTTGTTCGGGTGAGAATTTAGGGGTGGCTTAAGCTACCTAGAACCCAGTCTCTCTACTCCGTGGCCTCCACATTTCATTACCCCTGTCAGTCTTTCTTCTCCATCATCCTCTGAGACAAAGAGGGACTCAAAAAGCTGTTATAGAAAAGCAGAATGAACAGGTGTCGAAATCACGTCAAATGCAACAACAGTGCAGTGTTTTAAAACAGTCAATGGGCTGGTGCTGTAGGGCATCTAGTCTGCCTATCATATGTGATGAGACCCTGGATTTTGTCCCGAGGACTGAAGAACAGAAAGTCAAACAAAACCTTTGGAGTGTTTGAAGCCAGGGCCTATACCGCCAGCCCCAAGTCTGTGCTACCCAGGCTGACCTTGAACATACTCTGCAGTTTAAGCAGACTTTGAACTTTTGATCTTCTTGCCTCCAGCTTCCTAAACAACCAGGATTACAGGCTAACTCCATCAGGCTGTGAGCTTAAAGGCATCCTGAAAAGGTCCTAAAACTACCCTTTCTCAAACAAATTACAAGATTTATAAATGGATGCTTAAACAAGTACGATTAAAAGGGTGACTGTCACCAGATTTAAGAGAAACAAACTGGTTCCCACTCCCCTTCACACGACTGATAGGTAACTAGCAGTGTGTTCCCCCGGAACATTTGTAGAGTCCGTTACTTAATGAATCATGGTCAAACGGTCCTTGTCTGTTTTAAAGTCAGGCATGATGAATGAAGCAAGAATAGCACTGGGGAGGCTTTTTTTTTTAACTTGGCGTATTAATTGATGCACAATTTATTTTATATAAAGATATTTTCTGCGACAGTATCAGATTCTTCAGGGATTATGTAGAATTCCAGCTTCTCATCACCTACTGGTTGCTAAATTAACATCTGTGAAGCAACTCAGAACCAGGCATCTTGGATGGAAGGATAAAAGGGGAATCCTTCCTGCTGAAGCAGTAGATATCAAACTTAACATCCTTCCCGTTTTTCCATAGTTACAGATGGGTCGTGGATACAGCTACTGTTTGCCCAGTGTGTGTGAGCCCTGGGTTAGACCCCAAGCACTGTATGCACTAATTTCCTAGTGTGTGCCTGACTTTCCATTACTCGTGGGAGAGAAGGTAGAGGGGTAGATGATTAAGGTCATTCTCACCAGTAAGAGGCTAGCCTGGACTTCATGAGACATGTCTTACAAGTTAGAAAAGTACTGAGGATGGGGTGAACAGATGGCTCAGGGTTTAAGGGCACTGGCTCCTCTTCCAAAGGACCTGAGTTCAATTCCCAGCACCCTTATGGCAGCTCACAACTGTCTGTAATTCCAGTTTCCACAGATCTGACACCCTAATACCAATGCACATAAAATAAAGTTATATAAAATATTTTTGCAAGAATTGAGGATTACAAGACCTTCTGTTTATGTGGGTTATTTCCCTAAACATAGATCACACTGGAAACTAAAACTGAAAAAAAATTAAATATGTAATTACTAACTCAACTAAAAGAGTCACAATAAACCCATTGCATATGATACATTATAAATTCATTATTGTACATGTATATACCATTGCTAATTCAATTAAAAAGACTCACAACAAGCCCATATAAAATGTATTTTAATATATTTTTACTGTGTGCGCATGTGCCGTGGCACTCATGTGTAGGTTTGAGGACATCCTCATGGAGTCATTTCTCTCCCTCTACCGTCCCTTGAGATCTGGGGATCAAATTCTGGTCATTAAGCTTGAATTTCAGGTGGCAAAGGCCTTTATCCACCAAGTTATCCTGCCAGCCCTGTAAGACACAATTTTGAGAAAAATAAGCACAGTTTAAAAAAATAGAAAATCATCAGAAAGGTGACTTTATTACTTTATTTAAATGTTTTGTGTATATGTTGGATACTCGAGTTAAGAGAGGCCGGTTAAAGTTCCCCTACTCCCTTCTATACCAATCTGCCAAGATGCAGATTGAAGCTCGTGGAGAGGAGAGCGGCGCACAGGCGGTCGGGAAAGGAAAGGGTATTCTAATGTTCTCTTCAAGTAAACGTGATTCTCTGTTCAACAAAGAAGCTTCCGCAGTAGAGGCCCACTGCAAGCTGGGATCTGAGACCATGTTAGTGAAGTTTCAAAACTCCGTCGTCGGAGCTGGAGAGATGACTCAGCCACTAAAGGCTTTTGCTGCTCGTCCAGACGACTGGAGTTCAATACCCAGAACCCTCAGATGGCTCACAACTACCCACAATTCCACCCCTGGGAGATCCAGTGCCCTCTTCTCACCTCCAAGGACACCCACATTCACATACGGTCACACTCTAACACAGATAAGAATTTTCAGTTAAAACATGCTCTGTAGTAAAATGCATTGGCAAATCTTATACTGGCAATGACGGTTTTCCCACAGATTATAGGCATGACCGTGAGACATCATGAATTGTTCGTTTGGAAAATAACGGTTTCACTGACATACGGGGATTTCCTAAATGCCACCGTATGTCATAAAAAGCACACCTCGCAAAGAGGACCTCTGTAAACATCACTCCTGAACTTATCAGAAAGGTCCATCGCTAGGACTCGGGAAACAATCAGGCAAGCTGGACAGATTCACATCTTTCATTACGTTAAGATTTCTATCAGGATGTTTGCCTTTCATCATTGGCAATATCTCTCACTGGGTGTCTTCCTTGAAGTGACGGGCTCGCCTATTCGTTTGACACAGAATGACTCTGCAAAGCACACAGTCGACCGTGGTGCGTTGTCAGCGGCTCCTGAAGTAGAAATGGAATCCATGGGGGAGCATGTAGATCAGTCCCTCACATTAGCCATTCACAAGTGACTGAGACAAGACAGACTGCTGCATAGAGTTGAACTGCACACACACGCGCGCGCGTGTGTGTGTGTGTGTGTGTGCGCGCGTGCAAAACATGTACATAAGTGTGTGGGTATGTCCTTGTTCATGTACATTCAGAGGCCAGAGGCAGATGCAGATATGAGGCAACTTCCTCTATTACTTATTGACTTGAGACAGGATCTCTCTCTGAGCCTAAAGCTGTGTTTTAGCTGTACTTGCTGGTAGCAAACTTCGGGATATGCCCGTCTTTGCTACCATGTGCTGGGATTAAAGGAATGTATATCCATGCTCTTCTGTTTTCCTTACCGGTTGGGGACTTGAACTCAGGCCCTTACACTTGCATAGCAAGCTCTCTTTGCCACTGAGTCATCTCCCCAGAAGTTGAACTACTTTTTGGGTCCCTTTTGTAATAAATAACATCAGTGATACATATTCCGAGATGTGGATTTTTACAGGAGTTTTCATCATCCTTAAAAGACATTCTTAATGGAAATCACTAGTTTTTAATTTACTGTGTGTTTCATGATGTGGAAGGAAGTTGGGCAAATACCGACTACAATGTTGTGACATGCTTGGTGACTACTGCTCAGGTGTTAGCAGCTTTGTATGTCAAACCTTTCTATCTTCAGTACAAATGTCAGCACTGTGAAAAGGGCAAATAATGTCTAGTTTTATTTTGAAAATAGATTTTAGTTTTCACTCCCCGCCCCAATATGGTCTAAGGATACCCAGGGGTCTGCTGTCTCGACATTGAAACCCTGCTTTAGAAATTCAAAGCATCAGGGAAAGAGAGAATGGAATGTGGATTTTTCACTGGGGTGTGTGTGTGTGTGTGTGTGTGTGTGTGTGTGTGTGTGTGTGTGTGTGTGTGTGTCTGCTGTAACAGAGAAAGCATAGCTTTTTCAGAGCATTTTCTAGGAGGGATGCATGACTCAAACAGTGTCTGGAACTCACTTATGTAGCCAAGGATAGCCACCAACTCCCAGTAATCCCCCTGCCTCAGCTCCTGAGAGCTGGGATTATAAGTGTTTAAATGCTCTTGTTGGTGGTGTGCTTTTGGTGGAGGGGAAGACAGGGCTTCGTGTATCCTAGGCAAATGATATATGGCTGTACAACTGACACATGCACCTCACTGAACGACAGATGAACCTCCTAGAGCATACGTCTGAGAGAGTCGTGAAGGATACCTAAGTGTAGAACTAGGTTAACAAAATGTCTGGCTTAGTGGCTCCTGGACCTGAGAATGCCATTTCTGTTTCCATATTACTAAGGCTTTTTTCTAAAGTCTAAAGAGAACCATATGGTTCCTATGGTAACTGGATTCCAAAAACATATATGCCCAGTCGGGAAAGGTCACTAATAAACTATGCCCACTCAAAATTGAATGAATATGGGAATTTGGAAGAGAAAACCTGGACAGTTGAATGAGATTACATAATGGGTTTCACCAATATTTTGATGGGGTAAGCCAAGTGTCATCTAGTTAACATACATTCTCACTCCCTGTTTCTATAGAAAAAAAAATTCAATCAGGCCTTCATTAGTGCAGCTTGACTCAGTATCATTAACCATGTTAGCTGATGCCAAAAAGCAATGAGATAAATGACAAGGGATGAATTAATGTTCCATAGCTTGAAGGCCTTACAGATATCACCACATTTAATATTGAAAAATCTGGTGAGTAAAAGAATGTTCCCGTTTTATAAACAAGAGACTGAGGCACAGAGGCACTAAATAATACTCCAAGGGTTGGGAGATGCTCAGTAGGCAAAGTGCTTGTCACAGAAGCATGAGGAGCTGAATTTACTCCCTAGTATTTACTCCCCAGCACTCATAGAAAATGTCAGATACCGGGTAGATACGTGAAGTACCAGTTCTGGAGAGGTGAACATTAGCATATCCAAGGGGCTTGCTGGTCAACTATCCTAGCTTGCTTAGTGAGTTCCAACCCACTATGACCCTAAAAAGGCATCAAAACGACACCTGTCTTAGCTAAGGTTTCTTCCTATTGCTATGAAAAGACACCATGACTATGGCAACTCTTATGAAGGAAAACATTTAATAGGGGCTGGTCTGCAGTTCCGAGTTTTAGTTCATTATTATCATGACATGTGTCATGCAGGCAGACAAGGTGCTGGAGAAGCAGCTGAGAGTTTTGTATCAGGAAGTCAGCTGACACACTGGATATAGCTTGAACATAAAAAACCACAAAGCACACCCCCACAGTGACACACTTCCTCCAACAAAGCCATACCTACTCCAACAAAGCCACACCTCCTAATAGTGCCACTTTCAATGGGGCCATTTTCTTTCAAACCACTACAATACCCAAGGTTATCCTCTAGCATACACACTCATGGACATACACATAATTACACACACATGCACATATACACACACACACACATTCCCCATGAACACATAAACAGAGATGGGGGAAGAGAGACACAGCATGCTCAAAGTTAGAATGTAAAAGAATTACTTCTGAGGTATCTGGGTATAGTTAAGGAACCCCTTGCTCTTTCTCACTCTAGGGTATAAGCAGTACAACAGGCAGAGGTATACCACCAAGTGAGATACAATCTGAGAGCTCACTGCCTGACCCAGTGAGATGCATACTATTAAATTCTTAAATACGAAAAAAATTCGAAGTAGAAACAGATGGATATTTCAATAGATGGAAACCACTTGAAGATGGGGACTTAAAGGAAACTTCCGCACATGAGAGAAGGATCTGGGTTCTTCCAAGAATGCCCAAGGGTAGAAATTTATGCTCTACTCTTAGTGGTCTTTTGCGATGATGCTATTCATTCTTACAGTAAATAAACTCACATATACTGCTCTGTGACTGGACCAAATGCTGTCCTGTTAGTACAACAAAGAACTCTAAGGTGTCACCAAGTGGTAATAATTCCTGCTGGGGGTACCTAACAGATCTTAAGCATCTCCTACAGATACAACACCACACAGCAGCATGAGTGTGACGTGGGAAGGAGAAATGGGTCATGTCTAATGTTTGTGGCCAGTTTCCTTTGGTGGTTGCTGGGGCTGGAGGAAATAGGGATGGGTGCCTGCAATTAATGGGTATTTTCTTAGTACCTACCACAATGCCAATCACTAAAATTAATCCATCACCTTGAGTAAACGCATAGCAATCCTATATGGTAGTCATAGTATTCCCATTTGTGTGCCTACCCAGACATAATACCATTGCCTTGACATTATCTCAATAACTCTATGAGCTATTATCAGCCATATGCTCCTGATAGCAAAAATGGGTCTCAGAGTAGATTAGTAATTGCCCATGGCTTCACAGTAAGTTGAATGATGTAAAAATTCTAGTGGGTTTGTCACAAACACTTGAGATGTTTGCCTCTCGTGGTGCCTTAATATTAGGTTAATGTAACTATTGCAATTTCCTGGTTAAAATCAGATACTTTTAAGAGTGAAAACAGATACTGCTAATAATCATACCAGAGCAATACACATAAACTGTATTGTGCCAGACAAGCTGGAAAAATGTCTACCTTATTATGAGGCAAACATTACTAAATGTCATCAAACTTCTAGAAAATAAATGCATCTACTGAATGGTATACATGCACACACATGAACAAATACATATGCTTTTCTCTCTCTCTCTCTCTTATACACACACACACACACACACACACACTAGATAGTAGCTGGTCATTTCACATTAAATAAAGCCAATGGACAGGAGAATGTCCCTGAGTATGTTAAATACTAAAGAAATAAGCTTTCCTAGAAATTTAAAACTAATATTAAGCAGTCATCATCATGCTGATATATTTTTATACACAATGAAATGGAAGTTCCACACAAAATTCTAAAGGGGAATAATGAGGGTTCAGAAAGCTAACTCAGTATTAAAAGTTAATGAATGTGACAAATAACTTTCTGACTCAGAGGAGAAAATTCTAAGA